AATTTCATTGGTTTCGAATGTTAATTAAACCCTTTGGCTTACACGATATCTGCCAATTACGTGAGATATAATAAACAAGAAAGTTGTTCACGTACCGTGCAATTCAATTGTTCAGCCGTATACCCAAATTTAAGGGGTTACATGGGTTTACACCGGGAAAAAATAGCATATTTTCAAGAATTTTTTTTTCTATATAAAAAATGGAATTCTTATTCAAACTTTTTATAGTATTTAAGATACATATTTAAAGAAGATTTTCTGAATTTTTCGTTGAAAAATATTTGAAACTCAGCCATTGCGACGTCATTTCCGGTGACCCCACCGAAAAAAAGKGTTTTCGCGTTGACAGCAGAACTTATAAACGGTGGGGATTTTTCTGTTGAAAAAATAGGATCTTTTAGGGAATACTTAAAACTAGATACTGGACGAAGGAAAAAGAACAAAATTAAAATTTGAATTTTTGGCAACGTTTTTAGCAAGAACATTCAAATTTCGCTACAATTTTCATCACATTTTGGTTTCTTAAAATTCGATTTTATGAAAAAAAAAACGAAAATCCTTCGTCCAAGTCCTTGTCAATAGTATCACGAAAACGTGTAGCAAATTTCATGAAAATCGGTTAAATAGTTTTCGAAAAATCTTGACAACCGACTTTAGAAAAAGCGTTTTGAGAAAAAGGCGTTTAAAGATTTGAGTGCTGATATAAGAGCCATTAAAGAGTGCAACTTCCCAGGGCCCTATCTTTAAAACTACTACTCCTATCGTCTTCAAAATTGAATACAATATTCTAGATGAGTTGTAGAATTGTAAAAAAAATTTGTTTGAAAGTCCTAAACCCATGTAACCCCTTAAGCAAAATTTATACTCTTTTCATGACATATTTATTTTTGTTATTTATTTTTGTTAAGCGGTCAGAAGTTGTTGGTTTAATGTAAGTTGTTTCGGATTTTTTGGAAGCATTTGTCCTTTGTCTAATTTCTCAAAGAAAAACGGAGAGAGAGAGAGAGAGAGAGAGAGAGAGAGAGAGAGAGAGAGAGAGAGAGAGAGAGAAAGAGGAATCAAAAAAAGAAGTTGAAAGGTTTCCTCGGTTTTTGTTCGGCGGGGGGCGGGCTAGGGGAGGGGAGGGGGTGTGCTACATCCTGATCTAAAGTAAAACAATGAAAAATACTTGAGAATCTAGACGATTCAGGATGATGGGTGGTAGTTGGGTGGTGGTGGTGGGTGGTTGGGCAGAATTCCAAAACAGAGAGAAGGAAAGGGTCGGAAGGAAAAGTTTAAAGGGAGGAATCTAACGAATAAGAGAAAGAAAATAGATATAAGAATAAATGACAGGGACAAATAAAGAAGAAATAAAGGAAGATATAAATAAAAAGCAGAGAACGTGAAAATGTAAGCCGACTTTTTATTTCTATCTTTTTATTATTTCTTTCTTTCTTCTAGTTTCTTTTCCTCATCCTTTCTTTTCCTTTTTGGTTTCTTTCCCTTCTCACCATTTTTCTTAAAAACATAAAAATAAACTTTATCCTAGAAACTCTCTTTTGTACATGCACGCACGCACGCACGCACAAGTTGATTTTATAACGCATGACACAACAACGGGGCTAAGAAAAAAGAATAGAAATCAAATGAGAAAGACAACAAAATAATATAGAATATTAAATAAAAATGATAAACATATGTAACGAAATATTATTATTTATTACTAAGTTTAATCTTAGGGATATTTTTTTTTGGACAGGTTTAAATTAGATGAACAATCTATTTATCAATTGAATGTTTCGTCCCTATATTTGGGACTTCCTCAGCAACTCGATAGTCATTGTTCACGAGTCAATATAACATCATTTCTCATTACAGTCATAAGTATTCACTATCTTATATATAGAGTCAATTTTAAACCGTTATCCTACCATAACTTTTCGAACTACTAGTAGTAGTGTAGTATCCCTAAGATTAAACTTAGTAATAATATTAGAAAAATTTTGGATAAGAAAAAATTTATTATATTAACATTATTATTTATATTTCGTCACCCCGTTAGTAATTATTTAAACCGGCTGCTGTTACAGTTAAAACGTGCAGAAGTATTAGACTTACAAGAAGACCTTACTTACAGTTGTGCCCTCATGGATTTTAACGAGCTTTGGTATATTAGTAGTATATTAGTAGAGTGTTATCGTGGTAAACTATTTCATCCTAACACGAAGCCAATTTTGAGAAAAAAGCTTTTAAAGTTTTGATTTTGGTTGTATACATGTTTATATTATCTTAAATGCGACTGTGTTTATCAAGTGGCACGCTTTTAATAATTTTTTTCTATTTCTTTTCATAATTCTTAATTTTTTAATATATACAGGAAAGAGAAAATTATTTATTAGAAAAAAATAAGAAATAATAAATTTTCTAACATCTTGCGCAAATAATAAATGAAAATTGATTACTTGAATTACGGGGTTAACATTTTATTTTTTAACAGGTACATTATACATGAAATTGTTAAAGATTAGAATATATACGATTGTTATTTGTTAGTATATTAAAGATTTACCTATTTTCATGTACCTGTTAAAAAATAAAACGTTAACTGTAATCGACTCTTATTTGCAGAAACTCACAACGCAATTATATTCCATAAAATATAAACCCTCATAAGAACTATAATATAAATTATATACCTTATATATATAGAATTTGTAGATGGATCGAATTAAAGTAAACGGCGTTTACATTTGCGAATAATAGAAATAAAAAAGAAAGAAAGAAAGAAAGAAAGATGAAGAAAAATAAAAGAAGGAAAAATAAATCGTGAACGGTGCGAAAAGAAACTCCTGTTGAGTTTACGAGTATCCTGAGTGGGGTGGTGGGATGGGGTGGGGGGAGGGGAGGGAGCCAAGGTAAAACGTAAAACGGAATTGAAGATGGAAGAAATGGGGTTGTTGGTAAAAGGGTGCGTTACTGGTTGAGAAGACTTTCCGATGGATAACGTTTCTTCATCCCTTAACGTTTGGTAAAAGCTAGAGAATAATGATAGCTTGCAAAGCAGAAGAAGAAGAAAAAGAAGAAGAAAAAGAAAGAGGAGGAGGAGGTATAGATTTTTTGGAGAAGTACATCGTTGTAAATCTTATGGTGGTAAACTCTAAGGATGGTTGATATCTTTCTGTTTCTTCTTTCCCCTCACCCTTTTTCCTCTTCTTTTACTATACCAGTTCTCCTTACAGCCGTTTTTTTACCGTCTTTGACCTCTGTTTAAACCACAGCCAACAATTGCTAAAGCTTTCCTCTTTCTTTTTCTTCTTCTTACTTTGTGTGTTTATGTAGATGTGTGTGTGTGTGTGTGTCAAGGTTTTGTTCAGATCGGAAAGAAAATAATGTTAAAAATAATGGAAATATAATTCGTGGTATTTTTAGGCTATATATAAAAAATATTATTATACAATTATTATTTCTAATTTTTAATTTTCAAATATATAATTGTAAATATTATAATTTGATAAATAATATATAATATTTGAAAAGAAATAAATTCTATTGATTGATTTAACGCGTAATGATTACACTAATGTACATTTTTTCAATATTATCATAATCATAAAATATAAAATGATTTATGTAAAGAGATGAAATTGTTAAGAATAGTTTCTTTTTTTTTTTTCTTTAACCAAACGCATATTATAACACGATACAGTTTGCACTAATATACCACCACCACTAACCACAAACCCCCCGCCCCCCCCCGCAACCCCCGCCGTCGTGTCTCGTTTCTATTTAGTTTATCCCTAAAGTTGACTGCTTTGGGGCTATCGGTCAAAAACAATTAACTAAAACCAAAACTATTTCCACGATAGTTTAATGCTGTTTAATGCTATCTCATTCGCGGATAAACGTAGGTGAATTAATTCCGACGGTTTGTTTCTCCGGTCGTTTCAGGAATAGAAATGGAATGGGGAAGGGATGAGAGAGAGTTTCAGATCGATTTTCGGCTGTTTGAAATTGTCTACAATGAGAATAGGATGAGAGAAGTTCAGGAGTTTTCATTCGACAACCTTGAGAAATTCCTTTAACTGTTTCACCGAACGATGATTAATAGACCCAACCAATCCTAGGCGTTTGTTTCTACGATATACGTTTTCTATTCGTGCGTGTAAGTGTTCCACATGGGTTTGTGTCTGTCTGTATGTGTATACGTGTGTGTGTGTGTGTGTGTGTGTGAAATAACTAAAAGAAAATTGAAAATCTTGGCGTTGGTTTGTCCTTTCATCGTTGAATTTGAAGAATCCTCTAACGACACTCCCCCTCCCCCTCTCCCTCCTCCGCCCCACGTCACTGCCACACCACCACTTTCACATACACATACGAAAAACTCTTTTCTTATACGGTAGAAAATCAAGGAAAGTACTTTATCGCATTGCTTTAAGGGAACCCCCCTTCCAGCCTCTTCCTCCTCCTCCACCAAACTCATCTCAACCCGCCAAACCAACCAACGAGCTCAGCGATTTTTCTCTTCTTTTCTCGAATTTTTACGCTTTGGCGATCTACCAAGATTTCTTCGAGTTTGGTCAGGGAAAGTCAACCGAATACACACACTATGAAATCAATTCGTTCGCATCACAAGTTTCCCAAGTTATTCTCGCCTTTTTAATAGATATATATATATATATATATATATATCTTACGGTAAAAGACCGAAATTGGAGAATGTCAAGATTCACATGAGTGAAATGTCAGCACATATCAAATACGTCGGTGAAAGACCGAATATTTCGTAAATACACCAAACGACCATGTGAATCTTAACATTCTCCAATTTTCAATCTTTCTTCATATATGTATATATATATATATGTGTGTGTGTGTGTGTGTGTGTAAAAAAGAAAAGAAAAGAAGATTGATGAGCAGCAAAGTATTTTAAGAATATAACATTACTAATTAAGATTTAAGCCGTTTATTTAGAATGTGGCCTAAGTCCATTTATACTTAAATTACGATATTTATCATTGATAATGTCCGAAGGCAGTGATGAAGGTAATTTTAATTAATTAGTATTTAACAAGTTAACCTCAGTTTTTGGACAATTGCATTAGTTGAATAATCAGTACGTTTAATTAATGCAGTTAAACAAAATTTACGCAATATACATATTATGGATTTACAATTAAATCTAAAACATAAAATTAAATACTAAATTTTTCAAGTTCTTTCACCCATGGGTGTTTTATTTTTTATTGAAAATAATTTAGGAAATCATAGACCACAAATTTTTAATTATCATGACATTCCTTTTTACCAAATGATTGAAATTTTCGTGTGATAGAAATGGTATTAAAAAAAATAATTTACTATTTGCCCCCCCCCCCCGACATTATTACAATATTATCAAAAAGTGTCGGAAAGGTAATAACTTTATTGTACATAAAATGAGACACACAAGAAGATTTTGTATCAACAAAATTATTAGCAGACGCAATTTTTAAAAGGATAAAGAATTCTAACGGATAACCAATAAACTGGTTTCAAATATTTTGGATGTGTTTTGTCAAAAATGAACCGTATAATGATACCCAAAGTTTCCGACAAATCAAAATCACCAATAAACTTAACGTAAATCTCATACAATTTTAACGAAAGTTTATAATAATCGAGTCGAATTATGCACAGACATAACAAGCTTTAGAATTTTTAACAAAATTCAATTATTCCTACTATATATATATACAAATGTTAATAATAAATATTATATACAATTATTAATAAATATGTTTAGCAGGGAAATTGGACAATACAAAGAACAAGAACTTTTTTTTTTCGTCAAATTGGGACTTCATCAGCAACTGGAAATTTTGTTATTATGAATTACATGAATAACATACACATTATAAAAATATTAAATATTACTTCGATCTCTAACGTTCAGAGTCTTTTACATTTGAGCAGACATACATTCTTATAATTTTCAAAAAACTAAACATCTATAATTCGTTATATCCTAATCCATTATATTCAAACAGTCAAACAAATTTGTTTCAATCTAGATTAGTGTTTAGTAGTCTAGATATCCTCACTATTACGGTTCCCTCTATTCCAGTCTTCTACTTATGATAATTAAATTGAAAAATTTCGTTATAAATGTTGTTTAAATTATTTCTGTCTATTCTAAAATTTTGTATTATTATTTGTTATATGTGGTACATCATTTCGTTAATGTTTCATTTGTATCAATTGTCTTCTACATTTAGAATTTAAAATTGTGTCCTGTTTTGAAATGATGCTCAGCTAACGCGGTGGTATTAGTTTTATTAACATTAATAGATTTACAAAATTATACAATATATTTATACTTGTTTATTTGATTGCATAATACAGAACTTTGATGAGTAGCAAAATTGTTTAGCGAGAACAGGTCTTACTACCATTCACTTTCCATCTCTCTTCCTCAAACCCCAAATCTCAAACCCCGTAACTCTTAACTACCCCCACCCCTACCTACCTATTCGTTCCTCTTCTTAATCCCCAACCCAAAAGCCCTGTTTTCTCTGGCGAGACAAAATCTGCGACCCTCGTTATAATTCGTCTAAGAAGCTCTTCTCAACATTGAAATATGAAATATAACGTTAAAATTTCATGTAAAAGTGTGCGTTGCTACAAAGAAGAAAGAGAGAAATAGGAAAGGGGGAGGTGGAAGGAGGAGGATAGAGGAGGAGGGGGAAAAGGGGACGGGGGAGGGCCGGTTTTTAGAGAGAACATTTCTAGACGAATGAAATCCTTGACAACACACTGTTTGAATAAATGTTATTAAGAGAATCTGGTCTCTCTTTCTCTCTCTCTCTCTCTCTCTCTTTATATACGAAATTAACTAGAGTAAGGTTATACATTAACAAAAGGATACCACAATTTTATTTGTTTCTTTTTTCAATCAAAACTGAGATTTCATCATTCATCGCGAAGAATGAGTGCATAGTTTAAATTAATTTAAAAGATCCTTGGGGTGGAATTATTTCAATAGAATTTTTTAACCAATTTTTTTATCTCTGCACGCGTGCATTATTATTATTATTATTATTATTATTATTAATTAGAAAAAAAAACAAAACGAAAGAAAGGATAAAAAAAAAAAGTAAATGTTTACTTATTGGTGAAATATTTAATCTGACAAATACTTGTAGAAAAAAAAAAATAAAAAAGAAAGAAAAGTATTTTTTATCGTTATAATAAGATTTTTTTAAGAAAATTATATAACGTATATAGATATCGTGAAAAAAAAAAAAAAAAAAAAAAAAGCGAACATTAAAAGTTAGTCTCGCGTATAAAAAGAGGACAAGAGTTGATATAAAAATATAGGGAAACGTCTAGATAATTGTCAGCAATAACAATAATAATACTAATAATAATAATAACGGTTATATAACAAGAAAAGAAGACGATGTAGAATAAAAGAGAGAGAAAGATAGAGAAAAAGAACAAATAGAAACGCGTATCCTTCTCGTTAAGAAGACTTTCTGCATTCAATGGTAGAATGATAGATAAACAAAAATGAAAGAGGAGTAGGAGGAGGAGAAGGAGGGGGAGGAGGGGTGGGGGAAAGGAAAATAGTCAAAATAGAAAATGTGATGATTTGATTAAATGTGCAAGACGTTTTATTTATTTATTCCACTTGGACAAATCGGGCACCGAGGTTGTACCTCTTAAAAGTAATTTAGGTTTATTTCCATCCAGCACAGAAATACCTGTTGTACCTTATGCCTTTATATCTATATATATATATTTACATTTTATATTTACATAAGAGAGAGAGAGAAGAAAAAAAAAAAAGAAGAAGAAGAATAAAAGAAGAGTGGAAGACAAAACGATAGAAAATTTCCTTCGAAGAAAACTAGAATATTATGGAAAAAATGAGAAAATGATTATTCCGCTAGAACGAACGTATGATTCGATAGTGAAAAAAACCTTCGTACAATTAATCGAGCGATACAAATGTAATATCATTTTTAATCAAAATTTCAATAAAGAGTCTGAAACAACAACAACAACAAATAATAATAATAATAATAACAACTCGGAAATATGATTCGAATAAGAAACTTTATTTCATCTTATTAGATTAAATAGATACACACGCACAGATACAAGCATGCACATATAAACAGAGATGGAAAGAGAGAGAGAGAGAGAGAGAGAGATAACATGCTGTGTAGTAGTCTGATTAACCCTTTGCCAGGTGGGAGACATGTAATTACACGACGAGTTGTCTGATGATATAACGCGATCGTTAATTCAAAGTTGCATCGGATAGAAGCACGATCACGACCACGATCACGATCATGGGAGAAGCTCTTAATGATAACTACATATAACTTTATACATATACATACATATATGTATGTATGTATGTATATATATATATATTACCATTTTCCTAGCACACTCTAAGTAATCCACTATACATTTCCACTTCTCCCTTCCTTTCCCTTCCCCATCCCTCCCCACTCTCTCTCTTACACTCATATATATATATATACTAACATAAACATATACTATATATACTCGTATGTATATTAACTCTTTGTCTAGAAGTGTATTCGCGAATATACATACTTAAGTGTTAAGTTTAGGTGCCTTGTGTGCAGTTGGCAGCCGACGAGGTATGTCGATACCTGGCCAGGACGGTCGTGCTTTGTGCTGATAATACAGGTGTCGGATAAAGCACAACCGAAAGGGTAGAACAGGGAGAGAGGGTAAGGGTTAGAGTGTGTGTGCACGTGTATGTGTAAGAGTGCATCTCTCTTCAACGATGTTTCCTCAACGTTTCCTTCGATTAATCGTCGCCGAGGTTGCGTCTTTCCTTCTTACCCCCCCCCAACCCACCACCCTGCTACCATACCACTCTCTTCACAATCCCTTCTCGTCTTCAACTCATTCCCCTCCTTCTCATCCTCCTCCTCTCTTTTACTACCTAATCCGCAAACAATCGAGAGGCTTTACTCGAGTGTATTCCAAGGAAATGGAATAAGGAGATGGAAACTAGAGATGAATAGATAGAAAGATGAGATAGGATAGAGAAAGATACGTGACCGGGTTGATGCCAATTATGAGAAAGATAAGATTATTATATGGAGAGGAAGAAAAAAGAAAGATGGGGATGTACCCGAGTAGAATTTCTGAATGTTTTCTTTTTTTTTCTTCTTAACGCGAGCCCTAATGTTATTATGTATGTTTTTTGCGATTTTAAGAAATTATATTCTTTTTTTTGGTTGGGGTAAGGGGTAATAGAAAGGGGGTTAAATTATTGATTCGAGATAATTAATGTTAGGTATGGTTAAGAGATGAATATTATTTTATAAAGGATAATTTGATTATTGTTTGAATGAGTTTTGTTTTTATTAAGGGGGAAGTTAAAATTGAATGGAAGAATGATGTTTTAAATATTAAAATCTATATTACAATTTGTGCATAATTATTTATATATATATAATACAAT